CCCCCCCCCGACATAAGTCCCCTCCCCTGAAGAAGAGGAGACATCAGCCATAAAACTCCTGAATAGGACGATCCTCTTCTGACAGTTAAATCAATTACCATGAGACAGTATGGTTTGCAGTCTGATCTGGTGTGCAGTATCACTTATAGCATGTATAAACCATGAAGATGGCCCTGAATAATGAATGAGAGTTTGAAATTCCTGTTGCTAAATATAGGGTTATGACACACTTTACACCACTAACTCCCTCCCAGATGGATCACAACCATACCAGACTGATTCACTAACAGTCTAGAATGTGTTTTTGCTGCAACTAGTATTTCTATACGAGGAAATGAAAATTCTATAAGAAATCCCCAGACACATGCAACATTTCAATCACAAATGTGTATCTGGTGTTTAGGTGGTCACCAGTTTACAATATTGGCTCAGAGGTGATACAAAACAATTCCTCTCGTGGATTGCTAAAGTTCAACGTCTTTCTTAAAATAATTATCTACATGATTTTCTCTATATATAAATTTGAGTCCAGGGGTACTGATGGTCCCCAGTCCAAGGATACTTAGACTGATGGTCCCCAGTCCAGGGATACTTAGACTGATGGTCTCCAGTCCAGGGGTACTTATATTAGACTGATGGTCCCCAGTCCAGGGGTACTTAGACTGATGGTCCCCAGTCCAGGGGTACTTATATTAGACTGATGGTCCCCAGTCCAGGGGTACTTATATTAGACTGATGGTCCCCAGTCCAGGGGTACTTATATTAGACTGATAGTCCCCAGTCCAGGAATCCTTAGATTGAGGATCCCCAGTCTAGGGGTACTTAGACTGTTGGTCCCCAGTCTAGGGATACTTAGACTGACGGTCCCCAGTCCAGGGGTACATAGACTGATTGTCCCCAGTCCAGGGGTACTTAGACTGATGGTCCCCAGTCCAGGGGTACGTAGACTGATGGTCCCCAGTCTAGGGGTACTTAGACTGATGCTCCCCAGTATAGGGATACTTAGACTGACGGTCCCCAGTCCAGGGGTACTTATATTAGACTGATGGTCCCCAGTCCTGGGGTACTTATATTAGACTGACGGTCCCCAGTCCAGGGGTACATAGACTGATGGTCCCCAGTCCAGGGGTACTTATATTAGACTGATGGTACCCAGTCCTGGGGTACTTATATTAGACTGATGGTCCCCAGTCTAGGGGTACTCAGACTGACGGTCCCCAGTCCAGGGATACTTAGACTGATGGTCCCCAGTCCAGGGGTACGTAGACTGATGGTCCCCAGTCTAGGGGTACTTAGACTGATGGTCCCCAGTCTAGGGGTACTTAGACTGATGGTGCCCAGTCTAGGAGTACTTAGACTGAAGGTCCCCAGTCCAGGGGTACTTAGACTGATGGTCCCCAGTCCAGGGGTACTTATATAAGACTGATGGTCCCCAGTCCTGGGGTACTTATAATAGACTGATGGTCCCCAGTCTAGGGGTACTTAAGACTGATGGTCCCCAGTCTAGGGGTACTTAGACTGATGGTGCCCAGTCTAGGAGTACTTAGACTGAAGGTCCCCAGTCCAGGGGTACTTAGACTGATGGTCCCCAGTCCAGGGATACTTAGACTGATGGTCCCCAGTCTAGGGGTACTTAGACAGATGGTCCCCACTCCAGGGGTACTTACACTGATGGTCCCTAGTCCTGAGATTATCAGTCTTAAGATCCTGAGATCTCGAGGTCAATCTACTAAGAGACCTGGTGACGTAATTCTGATATCTTGAGGTAGACCTTCAAAGAGACTTTGGGACGTAATCCAGAGATCTTGAGTTCAATGTAAGGAGACTTGGATGTGTATTACAGAGATCTCAGGTCAGATCTTCAAGGAAACCTGGAGACGGAAAACTTCAACCAGACATAAAACACAGCCATGTTGAACGCACAAATCCTAATTGCATCACATTTGTTTGGCCATAGACAACAGTTCACAGATTGAGCTATAGCGCTGCCAAAATAGATCTACATCATGCATATAGCCCAAAAGTACATCAACCATATAGATTATAATTATTCACAAAAAGAAATTTCACTATCATTACTGTATTAAATCCAGCTGGTTTTATCACCAGCATGCCATTCAGCTGGTAGTGAGTTGTGATGAAATCCTGTAAGCCGGTGTGAAGAAGACCATGCGTATGGAGATTTGCCCTCGGCCACCACTGGCAGGATTGTGGAGAATCCGGTGATGAATACTGATTGAGTTAGCCCTGATAGAAGGGATGAAATGGCCATCAAGTCTCTCCAGCAACGCACACAAAAGGTCACCAAATTTGCAAATTCAAATACTGTCCTTGCTCCCTGGTGGAAGAATGGTGTGTGTCTGCCTTGTTCGATCGCAATGTTCATTTAATTTTCGTAATATTACCAAACCAGTCTGATGGCCGCGTTTGTGTATTATCAGTCCATACTTATTGTATCACTCCCATCATAAATCAATGTCTGGACCAACAGTCTCATTATTAAGGTGATCCCGCTGAAAAATTACTTCTGAATAGTTCTGACATTCTTAACCCTGAATGCTTTGTCTAGGTTGATTAAATGTATTGGTCTTAAGACAACTGATCATAACAATTGAAAGATGTCTTTTTCATTTCTGCGTTATATTACAGAGTTAACGTAAAAAACTTCATTACAGAACACTTTATCTGTAAAATAGAATTACCTGACCTGAACAGAAAGTTGTATTAGTACGAACACCAGACAACAAGTACAGAAACAGTCAATATGAAGCACTCAATTAGTAAAACAGAATTATCTCCCCTAAAGAGTTATAACATGCTAAAAAGACCACCATATGACAAGCACAGGACGGGGAACTAGAAATCAAGTAAATCTGAAGCACTTAAACTATAAAATAGAATTACATCCCGTGAATCTAAAGTACCTCTCACAAAATAACATCATGCAACAAGCACAGGACGTGGAGTTAATGTGAAGCAATTAATGTGTAAAATAGGATTACCTCCCCTGAATACATAGCAAATGAGAGTATGAACACCGCACAACAAGCACAAATTGTTCTCCAAACAGAAGCACTTCACAGACTAGTCAGGGAATCTTGGAACAATTATAACATTTTAGCCGCCTCTGACCTTTCCATCTGGGTCTGTCATTTACAAATGGGAATCCAATACTGTGGATAAGCCTGGGTTCCGCTCGGTGCCTCCCGGCTCTAGCAGGTCCGGGAATGGCCTCCGAGGTTTTTATCTCATGACTCAACACAAGGAGAAAATGCTTAAAACAGATTGTAATGGTGGTTGATGATAGGCTGGGGGCCCCAGGAGAAAGTGCACTACACCCACTTCTCACTGAAGCAACAGTAACACCTCAACAGTAAGTACATCACCAGGCCTGCTATTATCAACCTCCTGATCAGTCCAACTGCACTGACAAACACATTTCCTCATTAAATTTTATTGTTTTCATAAAGAAGTTCATCATCAGGAAAATGGTATTTAAATGTAGCTATTTCTTAATACTACATTGGTGGCATGTATAACATGGAATGTGCAAACCAATGATTACTTTTTCTGTTTCTTCCCCACCTCCTCCCCAACTGAAACAATTTACAAAAAAATCAATTCATACTCACAAGGAACTGTTTACCCCAAAAAGATATTTTTGAAAACTTGTCTTGATAAATACATAGTAAACTTAACATGTGACAAAAAAATCAAATATATCAAAGAAATGAATATCATTTGTATTTAATGATGGTTGCATATTCAGGCCATTAAGGCAGATTAGAGCTCAATGACAATCAATACATAAAACAGCCACATTTGTCACTAACAGGCTGATCCTACTTTAACAAGGGCTAGCTAATAACGTATTCCATCCTGAACTCCAATGTGGTGGTGGAC